CCAAATGAATCACTACTGCACAGACTCTGGCTCCAAATGAATCACTACTGCGCAGACTGTGGATCCAAATGAATCACTACTGCACAGACTCTGACTCCAAATGAATCACTACTGCACAGACTCGGGCTCCAAATGAATCACTACTGCGCAGACTCGGGTTCCAAATGAATCACTACTGCGCAGACTCGGGTTCCAAATAAATCACTACTGCACAGACTCGGGCTCCAAATGATTAATTTCTGCACAGACTCGGGCTCCAAATGAATCACTACTGCGCAGACTCGGGTTCCAAATAAATCACTACTGCACAGACTCGGGCTCCAAATGATTAATTTCTGCACAGACTCGGGCTCCAAATGAATCACTACTGCGCAGACTCGGATTCCAAATGAATCACTACTGTGCAGACTCGGGCTCCAAATGAATCATTACTGTGCAGACTCTGACTCCAAATGAATCACTACTGCACAGACTCGGGCTCCAAATGATTAATTTCAGCACAGACTCGGGCTCCAAATGAATCACTACTGCTCAGACTTGGGCTCCAAATGAATCCCTACTGCGCAGACTCGGGCTCCAAATGAATCACTACTGCGCAGACTCTGGCTCCAAATGATTCACTATTGTGAAGATTTTTAAAAAAGGTATTTCATTCTTAAATGAAGGGTTATTTCACCCAAAACTGGAAAAAAAATAATTATTATTTACTCACCTTTATGTAGCTTCAAAAATGTACATTTATCTTTAAAAAATGTCTGTCCCTTTATTGACAGTCCATGCCATCAAAATAAAAAAAATTAAAAAAAAGTCCATAAACACATTGTAAAAGTAATCCATATGAATTGAGCAGTTTAATCCAAGTCTTCTGAAAAGACATGATCATTTTATATGATGAACAGATTTAATTTAGGCTTTTATTTACATATCTACATTTACATTTACATTTAGTCATTTAGCAGATGCTTTTATCCAAAGCGACTTACAAATGAGGACAATAAAAGCAGTCAAAACTAACAAAAGAGCAACAATATATAAGTGCAAATGACAAGTCTCGGTTAGCCTAACGCAGTACACGTAGCAAGGTGTGTATATATATATGTTATACACACACACATATACACACACACACAAACAAAGAAAAACAAGTAGATAGAATAGAAAAAATAGAAAGCTAGTGTTTTTTTTTGTTTGTTTGTTTTTTATAAAGAATAAAAAATAAAAAAAGATAAATATAGATAAAGTAGAATTAAAATAGAATAGAAAGTGTTATATATAAACATTGATAAATGTATATACATAGAGCACATCAAATATGGTACTGCTTGATTCATATGTTTTACATTTACTATGTCTGTATGAACTTTCTGAAGCATTAAGGGTTTGAGTGCGTGGACTTTCACTGGAGGGACAAAAATCTGTCAGAAAATATCCTTATTTGTGTTTCGAAGATGAAAGAAAGTCTTATGGGTTTGGAATGACGTGAGAAATGACAGAATTTTCTATCCCTTCAATATAAATAATTAAATTTTTTACCCATTAAGATGCGGCACAAAGATAAATGGTGTTATGTGTGGGTTGTGCAGAGTAGTCTCTACATTCATGAGCATCAGCACTGTGCCCTCGAACAGCCCATTTAACCCCAGGATGCTCCGGGAGGGCTTTCTATATAATAAGTGCACTGGAAGATCAGAAACACTGTACTCTACATGAATACACAAACACTTGGCTAACATACTGCAAAAGTGCATGGAAATGCTATCATTGTTCTATGACGTTACACAACAATGGTGTATGTGCTGCCATCACTGTCAAACTAAATTAAAGTGTGTCTCCACACCAAATGCCTTGAGTCACGTGGCAATAATGGCTTCAATAATACGAATTGTCTTTGTGTGGGTGGAATAGATAATAAATGGCAGGCAGTCAGAAAAGAATTATCTGCCGTGAACCGTCGCCTTCCATCTCTGGCAAAACCTCACAGTATCTAAGAGAATTTAATTCCCATCGGAGCATGTAAGAGCAACGTGCCCTTCAGAAACATTGTTGAGGTCGTGTGGCCCTCACAATGAGAACTCCTGCTGAGAGTCCTGCAAAGATATTTCCACAAATGTGGTGATGCCGAGCACCTTCATGCACAATCCCTGGGACTGTTTGCTTTGTGTGCATCAATGCAGTAGCCAACAAGTTCAGTAAGTGAAAACTGAGTCAGAGAGAAAGAAAGATGAACCATGCAATGTACAAAGAGACAAACGGAGTGAGGGCTGATGCACACACACAAGCATGTTACAAAATCAATCCACATTCTTGCATATCCTCTTAAAATGCTACTGTTATGAAAGAGAATTTCTCATAAATAGAACGTCCTACACACAGGCAGTTGGCCGTGCCAGTGATTCAATTTTTTCCAATTTTGTTTTTATTGTTTTTGACCCATGTCACCTTGTATTCTAATAAAGAAGATTGTTACGACACCACCATTTTAGATACCAGTGAAATACAACAAGTGCTTTAAAGGGGACACTGGATGAAATTTTCACTTTTTTTTTTTTTAGCTTTTTTGTATTTAGTTAGGTTTCTGGCGAGTCTGCCAGCTCAGAAAAGTTGAAAAGAAAACACACAGCCAGTTCGATATGCATTTGAGTCTGAAACTGTGTCATCCATCGTGCTGTTTCAATACGCAGCTGGTTTCTACACAGGTAGCTAGCTATTTGAATAAGACCACCTCCGAGGCATATATACGGAGTCCAAGGCAGCAATTCATGCATCTTGTGTGACATGCCCCAAGGAAGAGGGGTGGGGTGAGCAGTAGCTCATTATCATTTAAAGGGACATGCACCGAAACAGGTCACTGTAAACAAAGCTGTTTTTGACAAAAAGGGTGTTGTTTTACACGAAAACTGAGGAATTTTAACCAAAGTATGTTACAGACATTTCAGGAAGACCCTAAAGAATCATAACAGCTTGTGAAAAATGGGCATCCGATGTGCCCTTTAAGTTTTTCAGATAGGTAAGTAAGGTAAGATATACCACAGGAAATTAATGAAGTAATGGAATGTAAAATAATTCTGCAGAGTCTGTATAAAATAAATACAGATTCATCTTTATGAAAACTACAAAAAAGTATTCAGTCAAGAGCAGTGAGTAATCTTTCTCTGTCTTTTGTTGTCAACATTAATGACAGACAGCAGCAGGTATATTGGGCAACTGTCACTATCTGAGCTTAAATGGCTTAAAATCGACTGAATGTTTAAATTGGCAAGACGTAAAAACAAATGCAAATGATGAACTTTTGTGATGCCCAGTTGGGCCAAAGTTCCGTCAAATGTCTTTTACATTGACTCAGACAACTGGCCAGTCCTCGTTGTCGAGTCCTGCACACGTATCCTAATGAAACGGGTGGGTGCAAAACTTTTATGGCACAAAAACAATGAGCATTAACTACAGTTGACCCTGGGGCCTGGGGCCAGTGAAAGACAGCAGTTGTCAACCACTATTATTACTAGTAATATTATTAATTATATTAATAAAAATTAATAAATTATTAATATATTAAAATAAATCTCTTAATTAAAATTAAAACACACACACACACACACACACACACATACATAACATCAAAATGTAAATGTGTGTACCACCCCAAATAACATGTAATATTGTTCTTACTGAAGAAAATACATTTATGGAGGAGACGTCTTTGAAAATTGTGTTGGACAATGGAGTTTCAGGCCTGTTGTCACTTGCCCTTTTGGGCCTCTGAAAATTTCATTTCATTTCATTTTTCTTGTTTTTTTTTCATATCTTGTGAACATAGAGCATGGCGCTAGCAACGTCAAGGTCATGTGTTGGATTCCCAGGGAAAGCTTGAACTGATAAAATGTGTACCTGAAATTCAATGCATGCCGCTTTAAATAAAAGCATCTGCAAAATACATAAAAACGTAACAAAAAATAAAAGTAAATCAGGCTAAATAAAATGCACCAGATATGTCAATGTAACATTATCTAACTAGCTAACATTGATGAGGAGTTGTGGAAATTACAAGAAAAATGTGCAATGATCTTTGAATCATCAGTTAGAATAGGTTAAAAATTATAGACCAACCTGCCATCATTTTCTAGCAAAAGTATGTTTATGACTTTACAGCTGTATAATTTATAGTTTATAATTTATTTATTAGCAAATTAAAAACCTAGCTTTCTTCCTGAAAAAAATAAAATAAATTTAAATATTTTGGTAATGCTTTTTTGGTAACCAATTAATTTCTTATTAGCATGCATAGGAGTTTTCCCTGAACAAACTCCTAATTTGCTGCTTATTAATAGCTAGTAAGGTAGTTGTTAAGTTAAATATGGAGTGGATTAAGGGATCTAAAATATGGTCATGCAGAATAAGACATTAATATGTGCTTTATAAGTACTAATAACCAGCCAATATGCTAGTAATATGCATGCTAATAAGTAACTAGTTAATAGTGAGAACTGTTCCTTAAAATAAAGTGTTACCATTTTTAATATAAAGTAGTTAGTGTCAAATTAGGGTCAAGGTTGTACAGTGAGATCCAAGGACTTTCTGTAGGAAGTGATAGTGCACACTCACGGCAGTCTGCCTCATCTGACTTGTCCTTGCAGTCAGGGTCCCTGTCGCACCTCCAGGAAAGTTTCACACACTCCCCACTGCTGCAACGAAATTCTCCAGCACCGCACTGCAGTCTCCGGGTAGGGGGCGGAGCTGGGCGTCCAGACCCGCCCCCACATCGCCCCGCCCACTCATCAGAGCCGTCAGCGCAGTCAGGGTCACCGTCGCAGGTCCAGGGCTGTGGCACACACTCGGAGCTGTTACAGCGAAACTCGTGCGGCCCACAGGTGGGCGGAGAGCACTTTTCCTCATCGCTGCTGTCTCCACAGTCATCATCGCCATCACACACATAGACCGGTGCTAAACATTTATGGTTACGACACTGGAACTCCCCCGCTGAGCAGGACCTGGCATCTGGGGATAAAAAACACTTGATCAAGAAATGCCCAATTAGAAATGACATTGTCTGAATGATGTGTAACAATCAGCCACACTTCCTGCATAGTGGTAGCTCTTTCAAAGTGTGCAAAAAAAGTTATATTTTATTGAGATTGTAACAGAAAAGTGATTTTTGCATTCAACATCCAGTTCATATCATTTGAAATGTTATGAAAGTGAAATGTTATAGATTATTATTAATATATTGTATGCTATTGGAATTATTACAAAAGCAATAAAAAAACAGTTATTTATGAATTAATTAAGTACCACCAGAATTTACTATTCAAAATTAAATATACACTGCTATTCAATAGTTTGGAGTCTTTTAAAACTAATTAATAATAATATTCAGCAAGGATGCATTAAATCAGAGGTGTCCAAACTTTTTAATATGAAGGGCCAAAAACAAACTTGATTAAGTGCCGTGGGCCAAAAGTGTTGCATTATATTATATTAAAATGTGTTCATTTGAAAAATTTTAATTATTTTTAATTCACTTAATGTACATTTTAATCCAAAAATGAAACAAAAATGTAATATATATATATATATATATATATAAAAAATTAAGATATGCTTTTCTTTTGTTGTCTTTGTTTTGTGATATGGCATGGTGGGCCAAATCAAAGGTCATCAAGGGCCAACCATGGGCCCTGTTTGGGCATCTCTGCATTAAATTCATCAAAAGTGACAGTAAAGGCATTTATAATGTTACAAAGGTTACAGATTTCTATTTTAAAAAATGCTGTTCTTCCGAACTTTCTGGAAAAAAGTTGCAGTTTCCACAAACAAATATTAAGCAGAGCAACTGTTTTCATCATTGATAAAATAATAAGAAAGCATAAATAATTTTCTTGAGCAGCAAATCAGCATATTAGAATGATTTCTGAAGGATCATGTGACACTGAAGACTGGAGTAATGATGCTGAAAATTCAGCTTTACCATCAGGAATAAATTACATTTTAAAATATATAAAAAACAGAAAACAGTTATTTGAAGTTGTAAAGTTGTTTTGGCTTCTAACAGGTTTAGAGGGGGCGGCGAAGTAAAGCACAGGGGCTCAGAAAAAGTTAGGTGTGAGAGAGGCAACAGAAACAGAGCGATCCCGTGAAACCCTGAAAATTGAGCACATCACTGATGTCTGCAGAAGCAAAGCACATCTCATCTACAGTATGCCAGCCTCTGACACTGCTCAAAGCAAAAAGTGTCACAATTCATTGACAGGATTTATTCATAGTAGACTCACATATTGTGGCTGTTAAATTTAAAGAGATAGTTAACCCCAAAAATAAAAAAAAGTCATAAATTACCCACCCTCATATCAGTCCAAACCTGTTTGATTCAGTAAAAAAAAAACACTGAGACATTTTAAATTTTTAAATGTTTCACAGAAGAAAGAAAGTCATACAAATTTGGAATTACATATGGGGTGAATAATTGTTCATTTTGGGGTCAAATATCCATTTAAATCCCAACTGAGAGATTCAAGACAAACACAGAGAGAATTCAAAATAAGATCAGCAGAGCTGCTAATGTAATAGAGAGATCACATAAAGATAGACTGAAGGACCTGCTGATCAAAGGCAAGATTTTAATTGGATCTCTGAGAAAAAGTTTTTATAGTAGAGATAAGTGGAATACAGGAGGAGCATAATAGGAAATGAGACATGAAATTAAGAAAGACAAGAAACAAGATTAAGGTGAATGTGCTATGGAACGGTTGTGTGTATTTTCTCTGTAGTCAGATAATTTGGTTGTATACACCAACAATTTCATTCCATTTCAGCATATATCTGTTTAATGGACAGAATGTTTTGTAATAGTTAGAGGTGTTTACTAAGGCAAGCGTCACAAAAAAGGCCTCAATATACTTCATGTGAAGTTGTTCTTCGTTCAGGGGTAAACAGAAGATTGAACATTCTGACGTTGTCCACATTTGTTAGAAAAAGTATAGGTAATTCTCACGTAATATATTCTTATAAATTTCATATAACAATATAATCAAATAAAAGTTTTAATAAGTATTGAAAATGTATTGTGGCGAGAGGAGCAAACGACAGACACAGTGGGTGTGGCGTCAGGCCTCGGAGTCTTTTATTTAACAGAAGATAAAACAAAATGTCCAAAACGGGAATAAAGTGTTCAAAGGGGAAATAGTGTCCAAAATAAACAGGGTATCTGGTGTCCTCGTTGTGCCGGGGTATTGTGAAGGAGGGGTCCAGGTAGGGGGCGGAGTCCGGCGGCTGCACATGCTCCCCTCTCTGGTCCGGGGCGCGAGGGGCGGTGGCTTCATCACAGCGGCTCATCTTCCCTGGCCCACGGCGCTTGTGGGGGAAATAACGGCCCGGCCTTCAGGCCCGTCGACCACATCACGTGTGCGGTTCCATTCCGGACAGCAAGTACGACAGCTCGCGTCTCTGATTTGTTATTTTTTATTTTTCTTGCATCACAATGGTTTTGCTGTAGTCCATGAGACATTTTAAAACAAGTTTTTCATGAACAACAGCAAAACCTCTGTAACGCAAGAAAATTATTTTACAATTTTTATACCAAAAATTCAATATTTATTTTAATAAAATAATTTTAAAAAGTGGGAAAATGTAGTAATAACAAAGTAATAACATGGTAACATCCAAGGTTTTTACATTTTTGTGCATTCACTCATTAAAGGTAGGGTAGGTGATTTCAGAGAGGCTAGCAATAGTAAGCTAGCTTTGAAAGCATAAGATCCCACCCTCCCTGCAAATCACTCTTGAAAACACCTGGACAAATCAGACACAATTATTTGTTATATTTAACAAATAATCCCCTAACACCCCTCACCCAATCAACAAGCCAACTATGAGGGTCTATGGACCCTTCCCTCGAAATGCAAATAACCCCAAAAGGACAGAACAGACCTCTGGTCTTGTAGACAGAGTCTCCCTTTTACTTAATTTCCTCTGAAACAGACACATACTGCCTATAGAAAAGGATTCATTTCTTTAATTCATTGGCAAACCTTTCTATGTATGAACATGCATATGCCATTGTGTGCATTACAGTGGCGAGCGGTGACTTTTTTAACCGGGTATGCTGAGTGATAAGACCCCCCCCCCATCGGTTTTTAGGACACTCAAAAGGGATCACAGAATACAAATAAAAAACACCGTGGCAGGTGTCGATTTAAAGGTATGCACATTTCCTACCTTATTTGTAAATGAAAGTCATCTCCAATCCTTCTTCTGTCGTTTCAGGTTTATCCATTGTTATTTGAATGCAAGAAAAATATATCTGGTTTTCCAAGTAAAAACCGCCAAATAAGGTTTACACGTAGTTACGTTATGATATGTAATCAGAGGGTGGGGAGATGGGGGGATTCCCCCGGTCTATATGTCTCTCTGCATCAGCTAAATTATTTTTTATTCACAGTGAATAGGAGTTAAAACTCCCATCCGGGTGACATAACAGACAATGCAAAATACCCAAAAGTATTTAAAATATTGCAAAGTAACGTTGCAACCTTATAATAATATAATAATTGATACTTTTGCCTCGCCCAACCCCAACCCCAGTACTTTAAGAAAGTTATTTTCTGTGGCCATGAAAATATAATTTCTTGGAGTTGAGAGGAAATTACACTGAATGTTCGCTGGACGAAAAGATTAGTTGATGGTAAATAATTGCAATTAATTATATTGAATTGTAATTATTTATATACATTTCACTTTTGAGCTAATCTGCTACACTCTCCAAAGCCAGGCCACCAGTATGAATGAAACATTACATGTGTTTATAGCACTCAATAATGGCCAATACATCCTATTTTGGGTAAAAAATAGGAAACACATATTTCTCTCAAAGGAAATTTGAAGTAGACATATGATAATACATGGGTTTTTTTTTTTTTCAATAAAAAAAGCCGTTCATTAATGTCATCCACCATAATTGTGTTGCTCTTTTTTCGTAAAGTATCGGTTCAGGCACCGTTTAAGTACCGTTTTAAAAGTATCGATTTGGTATCATAAAAAACCCAAACGATACCCAACCCTAAGCGGGATGTGAAGAGACTTTCAACTAGCATAACAAAAAACTGGTTGTGAACCAAACCACCAACCCTACCTTTAATGAGAAGTCATTCATCAGAAACAATATGGTTTTATTTGAAAATGTTATGACTGAAAATGTTGTTATGACTTTTTTATAAGCTTACTTTCCACTGAATCAAAATTGACCGAGGAATGCAACAGGTTTTGGCAGTTTTTGAATGCATTAAGATGGGAATCTTGTTGTGTTATCCTTTCAATAACACAACCAAACTGACAGCAGTGTAAATGACAGTTAATAAAGCATCTGATCACAGGGATGTGGATGTTTGCACCATTTCAAATGTTACTAATTTAACTAAATTGAAATTTTTATGAAATTTTATTTGGATTTTTGACAGTATAGTCCTCTATTTGACGCATGTACAAGAGGCTTGTGAATGATGTGCTCAGCTCCAGTATAAAGGCCACTGGCTTGAGATTAGCCTAGATTAAGTGCAGATTAATGCGTGGGAACAGGCAATTATCATCATTGTGCCAAAACTCCCTCCATTTAGATGATTCATTTATTCCAGTCAGGAAGCGAAATCCCTACAGCACTTCAACATACAGTACAAAAACAGTGATATATATTCCTCATGACCTGACCTTGTTTCAGATCAGAATTTTACCATTTAACCCTTGCTTACATAAACTGATGTTACAGTTCATTTGCAATCAATCATTAATGTCAAAGTTAAACAATGTAAAACTGATTTTATATTCAATGAGAAGAAACATGCAGGCCAGTAATTTTGTCCATATAGAGAACTGACTGTTTGATGTACACTACAGTGCGTTTTCCATTTCAGAATGACAACAGATCTGAACGCAATGTTGCAGTGGCTTGTGGAAGACTACTGCCATCCTGAAATTATATATTGCATATAATGTATACGTTAAAACAT